TTATCTATCATTTAGAGTTATGAAAACATTGGGTGGGGGGAAAGAACCATTTACCTTTTGATCTTTTAAAGAGAGGTCAAATGTTTATTTTATCAAATAAATGTTCTTAACTTTCACCTATGGTTTTCTCTAGCTGGAATGAGGATTGTATTTAACATTACTTTAAAGTTGAAATTCAAAACCTGGTAAATTCATGCATATATTTATAATAAGTGTCTGTATTTACCAGATAGCAAAGATACTGGAAAAGAAAGTTCATCTTCTGAAGCTGATAATTCTGATAAGTAAGTGAATGGTAAAAATTGTTTTCTTTTTCTGTAGTTCATCAAAGTATTGCAAAGTATACTAAGAAAATGAATATCCTCTCAAAGCCATCCAATAAAAATTCATTGATAATAAATTTAGGCAGAAAGTAATTTCTCTGTGCTTTGCACCAATAACTTATGGTATTAGTTGCCGAAGATGTGGCAATTGGAAGATTTAAAGCAACAAGATGAATGGGGTAGTGTTATGGAAACTAATAGAAATATCTCACAGCTGCAAGTAGCCAGCTAGATGCAAACACAACTGTCCCACTTGAATTGCCTGTCCCACAGAATTATCTATATATATATATGTAGGTCTAGGTGTGTTCGGGTCTTTTCCCGTGTAAGATTAAGAGTATCTTTGTGACGTTTCGGCGAGGTCCCACTCGCCATCCTCAGGCTGGTGCTTTCAGCTTCGTGCCAGTGCCAGCTTCGTCTCTCTATAAATACTGGTGCAGGGGGGCTGGTGTGCTGGGTTGGTTGGCTGCGCTGCTGCCAAACGACCCAGGAGATTACAACGCAGGACCCAGGATACCACAATAAAAGAACTCGCAAGCCCATCACACAACCCATTACCCAAGCCATTAAAACACGGGAGGCTAATGGAAAAACAATCACTACAAAACAAACAACCCAGGAGATTACAGCACAAGATCCAGGATATCTCCACAACAAAACTCACAAGGCCATCACACAGCCCATTATACCAACATCAACTCCATCAACCAATCAAGAGGCAGCAGCGCAGCCAACCAGCCCAGCACACACACACACACCCAGTATATATAGAGAGACGGCAGCTCAGATCACACACTGCTTGCACTGGCACGAAGCCGAAAGCACCAGCCTGAGGATGGTGAGTGGGACCTCGGCGAAACATCGCCAAGATACTCTTGATCTTACATGGGAAAAGACCCGAACTCACCTAGACCTACATACCTGTACCCGTGAAAATCATTGTACCCGAACCAAGCCGAACACCATACATGTAAGTACCCGCGAAAACTTAAGAAAACATATATATATATATATATATATATATATATATACACACACATACATACACACACACACACACACACACACACACATACTTTTTATATATTTTTTGTATGTATGTGTATACACAGAGAGGTGGGGGGAGAGAGAGAGAGAGAGGGAGGGAATGTTTGGCATAGGTTGGTCTTCCCCTTCCGGTCAATTGAGAAATTGGGAACTCTTTGTAACATCAGAACCTAGGCAGATTAAGATCAAATTAGTTTTGGTAGGAGTACAGGTAGTCCTCAACTTATGATCACAGCTATTTTGAGCCCAAACTTTCTGTTGTTAAATAAGCCGAATGTTAAGCGAATGTTGCCCCATTTTATGACCTTTCTTGCCACAGTTGTTCAGTGAATCACTGCTGTCATTAAGTCAGTAACACAGGTGTTAAGTGAATCTGGCTCCCCCATTGACTTTGCTCACCAGAAGATCACAAAAGGTGATCACATGGCCCGAGGACACTGCAATCGTCATAAATTAGAACCAGTTGCCAACCATCCAAATTTTGATCACATGACTATGGGATGCTGCACAGTCATTAAGTGTGAAAAATGACCATGTCATTTTTTTCAGGGCCGTTATAACTTCATACAGTTATTTAATGAATAATCCTATATTAGCATGCAGAAGCGATAATTTTTGTCTTGTGTAATATATTGCTATTTTTATTATTTATCCATGAAAACAATGGTTCTTGATCCCTAGACAGGTGGAACATTTTAAATTAATCTGAATAAAATTAAGAAATTACTTTTTGCTATTTTAACCTCATGGTTAGGAACAGGAACCTATGATTGCCAGTGGTTTCCATTTCTCTCCAGTTCTATTAGATGCAATAAAATCTTCTGAAGCCAATAGATCTATACCAGGATTTCTATGAAACTACATACAGTTTAGGCATGCCCCATAAGTAAGTACAGCAAAAGGGTGTGAACTAGTAAGCAAAAGAAATCACAAATGTAAGAAAAATGAATGGAACTAATAGATAAAACAATTTACCCAATACCATTCATTATACCTCTTCTACTCAGTCTGCCCTTGCAAATCATTCTTCTACCAGATCCATAGACCAATTCATAAATAGTAATTAAAATATTAGTTCCAGCTTCCCTCATTCTTGGCTGGAAGTTTTCAACTTTGTTTATATATTAGAGTCAATATGGTGGAAAATGCACAGTTGCTGATCTAATAATATCTTGGTTCCTGGAGTAATCAGTTGCTTATTTTGCCTTCAATAATTCATATATTATCATTCTGTTTCTTCTAGGTCTTCTAAAGAAATCAAAGCAGAAGAAATTAGTGGTAGTCCAGATATGAGATCAGATAGAGCTTCTTCAGAGAGAAAAATGGAGTTGTCTTCCCCAAGTACCTCAGAGAAATCAACATCAAGCACAGGTACTCTGTCTTAATTTCCTTATAGACGTTCTATAAGTTAAGAAGGCAGAGAGTAAGGAATTTCAAAGCCATCACACTGGTCATAAAGAAACTTCTTAAATGCAGTTGCATGAATTTTTCTACTCCAATCTAATGCTCTCCAGATGTTGTGGGATTATAGTTTCCAGAATTTTCAACCAGCATTACCAAAGTGCTCCAATCCCAATGCATTTGAACCTTCAGGAAGATCATCAGTTATAGGTTCCAAAATTAGGTAGTCATCACATTGCTGGCTATAGTGTTTATAGAAATTTTCCCTACATTATTATGTTAATCTGGCAGTATAAGACCTTCAGCAGCTGCACTTGTTCCTACATAATGCAAGAAATTTTAGACAATGTGGCAGAAATCCAAATAAAATATATCTGTATCACAGAATTACATTAATGTTGACCTTAGAAAGAGCTACAATAGTAATAGCACTAGCACTTAGACTTATATACTGCTTCATAGTGCTTCACAGCATTCTAAGTGGTTTACAGAGTCAGCATATTGTTCCCAACAATATTATTGTACAGAACTCAAAAGGATGAAAGGATGGATCAGCCTTGATCCAGTCAGGATCAAACTCTTGGCAGTGGGCAGAATTAGCCTGTGATACTGCATTTTAAACACCACCACCAATGTAATAACTTTCCTTATTGATGCTGGATTCTCATGTTAACTTGGCAGTATATAAAGAAAAAGTATAACTGGACTAATCTCTTAGCCAAATGAGTACCAAAATGAGGGCATTAAAATGAAATTTAGCAGAGTTACAGTATGTTAGAATACATTTCTCCGTTTTCTGTTTATATGGATGTAGACTAAATTCTATGTGCAGTCAAGTTCTTCGTTCAAAACAACGCTTGTAACAATTTTTGACAGAGCCTATTTGTCTTACAGGATGGAAGGGAAGTCAGTTATAATAAACAGTGGAATCAAATCTGATTCCATTTGAAGTATCTGAAAAGGAAGAGGGAGGATAGATTTCATTAAAACAACAGGAGCACAGTTTGGTTCTAGATGCTATTACACTTGGCATAGTATTTTTTCAAAATCAATGGAATTAGTCATATTTAATCTCTTGGTCTCAATCTTGATCCAAATCAGCTACAATAATAGTAAACATGTTATAATGTTTTAAAGACTTAACATGAATTATACATACTATTTCAATATGACAAAACTATAACGTAAGTTGTTATCCTGAGTGTTGCAGATGAAGAGTTGCCTCATAAGCTGACAGCAGATGGTAGATTTTAATGGTAATTTTCTTGATTCATAGTTTACCATGAAAATATCTCAGTTTGAAATAAAGGAAAATACTTGTAGCTTGGGTTTTAGATTTTGGCAGTGGTTTTTTCGCCGAGCTTGTTTCCATTTAGGTTCTGAACATTTCATTACCAAACTAGGTAACCTCAGCAGCAGGATTTTCTCGTCCTAGTTGAGGGCTCACGACCTGCGGGCCAGATGCATCACATGCTGGCCACTCCCACGCCCGGCTTAGAGAAGGGGGAAAAAGTCACAATACATCATGTGATGACATGAGTTTGACACCACTGTCCTAGTTAAAGAGGAATACGACAAGAAAATCCTTCTGATGATGTAACCTAGTCTGGTAATGAAACATTCAGAAACTAAATTGAAACAAGCCTGAGAGCAAACCACTGCCAACATATCTTGGTTTAATTCTATTACTGATTGATTTTACAGGATTTACACCTCATCCTAACCCTAAAAGGCACTGGATATCATACAGCATCAAACAAACAACAAATGAAATTCAGCAGCAAACTGATCAAACATTGGTTCTGTGATTTGGGGCCATGTTTGTTTGTTTTGCAGTGAGGATATTAAGGATGGAATATTACTAGCTGCCTCCAAGAACAGCTGTTACTATTCTTGTCCCATTCCCACTTAATTCCCATAGAAACAAGCGGAACTCCTTAGACCAAAGCATTGTCTGAAAATCTCAGACATAACCCTTCCAAGATCATTGCCACATCTGCTGACCTCCTAAAAGTTTGGAGTCTGAGCCAGAGATCATCTATTGACCATCTTCAGATATTTAGTCCACTTTTCTGCCAAGACAGAAAGGCCTGGGTGGTCACAAGATATTCAAGACAGAGATGGGCTAGAAGCCATCAAAGCTGTCTCACATAAATGGCCTATAGGAAGATATTTATATTTAAACTCTTCATAGCCAGTACAGAAGAAAATTTGGTTTCCATGTGAATGATGCAATTGTTTTATGAACAGGAACAACCAAGAGTTTTCCAAGGATATTGGGAGGAGTTCGGAGAGAAAGTGAAATCAGCAGGTAAGTATTTAAGATGAGTAGCTGTCCAAAAGGAAGTTAATCATGTCGCTATTAAGTAACAATATTCCACACTTTAATGATGTCGCTGTCTGTACATTCCTCTTTTCCAAATGATGACTGGAAAAAGTTGGAAATAACTTACGTTCCTTCTAAATTGTGCTTTAAACAATGAGTATAATTATAGAAGTCTCTTTTTCATCCAGGCAGCTGACATGTGCATTAGTTTATAATTCCAAAATTCGTAGGAATCCAAGGTATCTGTAAGGCTCCAGGTAGTTTGTGAAAGGCTGAACTACATTGTGTACTACACATGGGCACCTGCTGGGGGACAGGAGAATAAAATACAACATTAGCAGGTTGACCCTGTGCCTCAAATTCCACAACATATATACTTGAGTCAGACTTCAGTAGATAATGGCGGCATTTCTCGAATGATATAATTGTGCATGTGGTATCATTGTGGTTTCTGTGAGTGTCATTATTTTCAGACTGAGGGAAGTACATTCTAGCTGATTTTTTTTTTATCTTTTAAACTTTGCTATGGCTACAATTTTGTGCTCTGAATTAACTTTTCACGATTGATGTATTTCTTTATCTTGACTGTTCCTTGATATATTTATCAACTTTTCTTGGAAGAGTTCAATAACAAATAAGATTAATTGTGATCAGAGAAATACCTCTCAGAATAAGAAAGTTTCTATTTTAGCCAGCTAATTATACTGGATTTTCACATAAAATGCTGCCTTATCTGTTGGTAAATTCCTTCCGTATATATTGTTTAAAAGCAGTGGGCAACAAATATCATTTTGGGACATGATACATTGGAGTTTATTTGAAGATAATTTGATTGCATGATATCTTGTGTCTGCTAAAAGGGAAATATTGGACACCATTGCTGATATGCCTCAAAGACCCTTAGAAATATCTGTCTCAATGCAGACAGATGCAAGTTGGATTCATGACCACATCTACGAGAGAAAGGGTAAGTAATGAGCTTATTGTAATGTTGGAAATATATATAATTGAAGATATTTTCATTGTCCTGAGGAAGGAAAAACTGCTACTTGTTTATCTGTTTAACTGGAAGCGCTTTGGGGTTCTTTTTCACAGCATTTTGCTGTGTAATGTGTTTTGTTACAGAGATTATACTATTTCAATCTGGAATCTTTGGCATACAAGAATATGCTTTACCAACCATTAATGGCTCTTCATGAAAATAAAATTAGTTGTGTATCCTAGACACAACTTAAATTAATTTGAGCCCAGGATCTCTTGTTAAGCACTAATGTTTAATTCTGAAATTTATCACACTATATATTTAAGTTTTGGAAATTTATGAAAGTCATAGTATTTTTTTTCCATTGTCTGAATATCCCTAGAAACTACCATTTGTTGCTTGGGGATATACCATGGCAAGCTTGTTGGAAAGTTCTTTTGCTCTAAAATTTGGGAGCTGGATTGTTATCCAAAGATAAAGGAATGGAAGATACGTTGCTAATGCTTAAATAACTTCACTGGTTGCCACCATTCTAGTTCTAATTGCTATTTATTTTCCTAGAAAGCCATATACAACTTTAGCGTCTAGAGTTCAGAAGGACAGCCTACTTCCACTCAAATTTGTCCAACTGCTAAGGGCCCTTTAATATAATTTTAATATAATTTGTAGAGCTCAGGTTAATAAAGGCCATTGAATAATCTGAATTGTGGCACCTTGCCTGTAGAATAATTTTCTCTGAGAGGATCTTCTGGCGTTGAATCTGGTTGCTGTGGCTGGTCTTACCCAAAACTGTGTGCTGGTATTGTTTTGGCATCCTAATTGCACTTTTGTATTTTTTTAAAAATTTTTTTGCTTCAAATGTGAATTGTTAAATTGTTAAACTTTATGGCTGAAACACAGAACATTATTTTAGATACAGAAGTATGCCAGCCAGACAAACAGGTGTAAAAACAGCTTTTATCCATGGGCTGAGGCTCCTAAATACAACTACAATCACTCCATGCATGCATGGAAACATATGACTAGTTTCTCCCTAATTACTTGTATAAGGACCATTTTCTATATTATTTATATTGTATTGTTTTTTTGTTATGGATAGCACCAGCAGGAGCAAAATCAATTTTGTTGTATATATGTACAATGACAATAAAGTTATTATTATTACTGTTATTACTATTATTATTATTATTATTATTATTATTATTATTATTATTATTATTATTATTATTATTATTATTATTATTATTATTATTATTATTATGTTGTTGTTGTTGTTGTTGTTATTGTTATTGTTATTATTATTATTATTGTTGTTATTATTATTATTATTATTATTATTATTATTATTATTATTATT